AAGGTCTGGAAGGAGATAAGTCAGACTGAGGGGGGTCTAGGAGGGAGGGAATCGGAGAGGAGTAATCAAAGGGGACTTGAAGTCCCATTTCCAATGCTCTGATTTTTAAAAAAATGCAGAACCAACTCATGTGTCTCTTGGGTAACTAAACTCCAGGGGGAAAAAGTGGAAGAGAAAAAACAAGAGAAGGTAGATGAGAAGTAAACTAAAATATTAACCATGCCTTTTTCTAGGGCAGTGGGACTGTGGTGATTTCTTCCTGTAGCTCTACAACTTCTATTGCTAATTTTCTACATTCACGTATCAACGCACATAAATGAATACGTCAGGCCTGCAGGAACAGGGGAACGGGTCCCGTCCATTCCTGTCCTCGTGGGCTCACTCCCAGGGCCTCGCGGCCTGGCGGGGCTGAACCCCGCCACTCCCTGACTCGCCGCCGCCATCGCCCTTGTCTGCTCCTGCTCGCGGCTCAGCAGCAGCGTCTCTGTCACCATGAAATACAGTCCCTTCCCCAGACGCTGCTCACACGCTGGCCACTTTGATTCATCATCTTTCTTACTCTCTCTGTCCTTTATTTTTCTGCCCTCCTCAGCCTTTGATTGCTTTTTGGGAGTTTATCATATTGAACTTTTTTCCCTTTCCAGGAAACCCTATTCTTTTTTTTCTTCCCTTTCACAATTAATAAATAATCGTGAGAGCACTTCTTTGGAAAGGAGCACCTCCTGTCTCCCAAACAGAACTGCTGGTGTGTCTCCTTGGGAGTCCCTCTGGGCCTGTGAAAGGCACATCACCTGTCACCCGAGGGGCAGCACTTGGTCCATCGCTGCTGATTTACAGTGGCGTCTGAAAGTCAAGATGCAGAAAGGTATTCAGAATTATGATTCTGCTTAGGTTAAAGGGGGAAAAAAAGGCAGTCTAAATCATAACAATTACAGGTCCATAACCCTTTATCCTAAACCCTTGAGGCTAGATATGTTCTGGAATTTAGAATCTTCACGGGTTAAAAGGCCATGTGGCACATTACATATATATTAGGTCACACCCTCAGCTGGGTCTCAGGCAGTGAAAAGCAAGCATATTACATTTCTGCAGGGGAAAAAACACACACACATATATTCACAATAAATGGCATCTGCAACTCTTATAAATAGCCTATAAATCATTCAGGGCAGGTATTGCCACCAAGTGAGCTATGAAAAATCTTTTGATTTTCAGCACTGCCTGGATTTCAGAATTGCAGAAAAGGGCTGTGCCCTGTCTTGTCCATTGGCTATGGGTACAGAGATGGACTGCACCTACACACAGCAAGGTCTGGAAGGAGATAAGTCAGACTGAGGGGGGTCTAGGAGGGAGGGAATCGGAGAGGAGTAATCAAAGGGGACTTGAAGTCCCATTTCCAATGCTCTGATTTTTAAAAAAATGCAGAACCAACTCATGTGTCTCTTGGGTAACTAAACTCCAGGGGGAAAAAGTGGAAGAGAAAAAACAAGAGAAGGTAGATGAGAAGTAAACTAAAATATTAACCATGCCTTTTTCTAGGGCAGTGGGACTGTGGTGATTTCTTCCTGTAGCTCTACAACTTCTATTGCTAATTTTCTACATTCACGTATCAACGCACATAAATGAATACGTCAGGCCTGCAGGAACAGGGGAACGGGTCCCGTCCATTCCTGTCCTCGTGGGCTCACTCCCAGGGCCTCGCGGCCTGGCGGGGCTGAACCCCGCCACTCCCTGACTCGCCGCCGCCATCGCCCTTGTCTGCTCCTGCTCGCGGCTCAGCAGCAGCGTCTCTGTCACCATGAAATACAGTCCCTTCCCCAGACGCTGCTCACACGCTGGCCACTTTGATTCATCATCTTTCTTACTCTCTCTGTCCTTTATTTTTCTGCCCTCCTCAGCCTTTGATTGCTTTTTGGGAGTTTATCATATTGAACTTTTTTCCCTTTCCAGGAAACCCTATTCTTTTTTTTCTTCCCTTTCACAATTAATAAATAATCGTGAGAGCACTTCTTTGGAAAGGAGCACCTCCTGTCTCCCAAACAGAACTGCTGGTGTGTCTCCTTGGGAGTCCCTCTGGGCCTGTGAAAGGCACATCACCTGTCACCCGAGGGGCAGCACTTGGTCCATCGCTGCGATTTGGGGAAGGGCGACAGTGGGGTGCTCGGTATTCGAGCTGCTCGCAACCCCCCAGGACTGCTTGCATAGCTGTCCTCCAGAGAGGGGCTGGCAGATGGAGCACTAGCCCAGGGGCTGAGCACCGGGGTCTGACAGGGAAGGGGGTACACTGTAAGAGTCAGAGCGTGGGCTCTGGAGACAGACAGATGGGTGCAAGTCCCAGCCTGATGCTGCCTGCCTGAGTAGCCTTGAGTCTCAGTTTTCCTGGGCACACTGGGCATGAAATAATCCCTACCGCATAACCATTAAGTGAAGAATGCACACAACCACCCTCAGCACAGGGGCTGATGTGAAGTAACTGCTCAACAGACAGTGGCTGGCATTAAACTGTAGCACAAGCCATGGCTCTGAGCAGTTATCTCCAGACACTTTTCACCAGTTTCTTTCCAAAAAGAGGGACACAACTAGCCCCAATCATCTCCAAGTAATGCCATAGAGCATCCTGGATCATACCTTTCAAAGTCATTGGAGTGAGCTTGACAGAGTGGCTGGCATATCACTTACGAGCACCAGGAAGTGACTTCTGGAGCGACAGGCAGGTATCGTTCACCTGTTTTCTGTCTTGAACCCACCACACCAACTGCCACTTCAGAGGCTTTTAACAAACGCTCACGGCAGTGTTTCTAATGCTCACACCTACTTTCTTTCCCAGAAGTTGTGATTCTGAGGTCAGACCACACTCAACAGAGATTTCTGGAAAGGTACGAAATGCAAACTTATCTCATAATTTACAGGAAAGGAAAGGGAAGAGAAGGCTTATTTTACCAGCAAGAACAGAGTCTTTTCTTCAAAGTCAAAGAGAAATGGAAAAATGGCAAAAAAATTTTAGGGAAGAGGATGGGTGCCAGGTGAGTCTGGGTTGCATCAAGGTTTCCAGCTTGTTCCAGAACGTGTGGCAGTTTCCAATTTTTCTTTTTACGTTTGGACTGCTTTAAGGAAAATGTTGCATAAATTGGACTATTTTAAGTTCAAAATGGGACACAAAGGAGATAATCTGGTCTTAAGGAAAAGATGACAGCTTTGTGACAGTCCAACCAGCTTTGAACTGTTTTTCAAAATACAATAGTTTTATTCAGATACATTCACAAACTGTATAATTTACCTATTTAAAAGGTACAGTCCAATGATTGTTAGTCTAGTCACAGAGTTGTGCAACCATCACTATAATTGGTTTTAGACATTTTCATCCCCTTATAACTAGTTGTGATGGTAACTCACAGCAGGGGGTCACCAACATATTTATCCCCAATGACACTGAATGCGCCCGTAACCCAGCCTTTTAAAGAACCTCCCACTCTAGATTCTGCCATTTGTTCTCCAGCATGTGGCATAAAACATTTCATTCTCCACATCAGGCCTGGGCCCAAGCACTTTCCCTTCAGTGGAAGTAAGTCATCAGGAAAATGTCCTGGGTCAAATTCCTCCTTCTATGCTCTTTGCTAACAAGGGGAGGAGACTTGGCAGCATGGGCTAAGTCTACACGTTCCTGGGAAACAGGGCCAGGATCTCGGGCCCCACTTATGCAGAAATTGATGACAAAGGGGAATTCCATGCCCAGTCAAACTGGTGGCCAGTGCCGTGCACAACTGTTTTCATTCCCTGGGGATCTGGGCAGCCTGTGGGCCAAGGCGTCAGTGGCTCTCTGTCCGTGCAGGCTCCTGTCTGGGATGGATGCCTGCTCAGCTTTGCTCTTCAGCTTCCTTCCAGGTCAACATCTTTTCCTCAGAGAAGTGGACTCCTGGACTCCTCGTCCAGGTCAGATCCCTGTGTCGCACATTATTCCCTGCTCTTGGCCGGTTCCCTCAGGGCCCTGGCTGGCAGTTCTAGACTATCTATGGCATCCTCAGTACCTGGTGCTTCAAAGGGACTGGTGTGTTTAGCTCACTCCTGAGTCCAGAGCAAACAGCGTCAGGCACATAGGGAGGTGGAGAAGATCGATGGCTCCATCCATGCATCAATCCTTCTCTCCCTCCCTCCCTCCATAACCACCCATCCAATACTTCCCAAGCACCACCTATTCGCCTCCCGGGGCAGCACCAGGAGCTGAGCATTTAGCAGGACAGAAAACAGTGTCCGCTCTCTTGAGCTTCCAGTTCAGAAACAGGCTGGGGCAAGGCGGGGTGGCGGATGGGCAGACAACAACAGAACGGAAAAAGCTGGGAGGGATGAGCGGTAGGAAGAATAAGCAGGGTCGGGGCGTCCGGGGTGTGGGGAGCAGAGCAGGGCTGTGATCCACACAGGACGCTCTGGGAAGGCCCCTCTGGGACAGTGTGGTCCGAGGAACGACCAAAAGCAGTGGGAACAGAGCCGCTCGGGTGCCTGGGGACCGGAGTGCTCCTTGCAGAGGCCACCAAGTGCAGGGGCTGCGAGGCAGGGAGCGCCCGGCGTGGCGGAGGCTCCGCTGGAGGCCCCTGGGGCTGCTTTGGAGTGGGTCTGGGGACAGTGGGGAGAGGTGACATCAGTCTGAGGAGCAGCAGAGGGTCCAGACTGCAGAGGCCTTGGGGGTCACTGTGGGGAATGGGAATCGGGCTTTCATTCTGAGTGAAATGGGAGTCAGTGGCGGATTTAGGCAGAAGACACACATGATCTGACTTACAACTGGAAAGGGTTTTTCTCACCACGGTGCTGAGAACAGATCAAAGAAGCCAAGTAAAGGAGCAGGGGGACCAGTCTGGAGGGCCAAGGCAGGAGTCAGCAAACATCTTCAGGCCAAACCCCTGACTCTGGCAACGGGGCCCTGTTCTTGTGAGTGAGGTTTTATGGAATGCAGCCACGCCCGCTCACTTACACACTGTTCACGGCTTCCCGCTGCAAGGGCAGTCAGGTTGGGAGAGACACCACTTGGCCTGCAGAGCTGAAAATAGTTACTACCTGGCCCTTTAAGAAGAATCAGCCACCCCTGGTCTAGGAGCTGGGGTGATGTCGTGAGGGCCTGATTCCGACTGCATTTCCCAGGGGAGACCCTTGACGGGCTGGCCGGGCTCTGTACCCTGGAGTGGAAGAGTGACGTGGCCTCTAGCTGCTGTTCCTCTCCAGGTAAGTGCAGGCAGTCACAGCCCCTGGGCAGCCCCGCCTGGGCTAGCTTCCCATGAACAACCGTCACCCTGCTCCAAGGGCTGGGCTGCGTACAGTCAGTTTAGAGGGCGGCCTTTAGCTCCCCTGCTTGAAGCCCACGAGCACTCCCCTGGGCTCCTGATGAAGTCCTGGACCGTCACCCCAGGACGGAAGGTCATTCCCACATGGCCTCATCTCCTGCTGCCTCCAGGCCCTGCCCCGTGCCCGGCATGCCCCACCCCTAACCTGGCCCATCCATCAAGACCTCATTCTAGAGCCCTCCTTGCCTTCCAGTTCCTAGAGGCCTGGTGTCCTGGCCCTGGGCTCTCAGCCCATCATAGCAAGGCCAGACTGCCCAGCAGTATGGGTTAGGTGCTGTCCTCAGGACACGGTGAGGTCCTTGAGGTAAGGGCCCATCCAGAACCTTCCACTCCCCAGTCTTTGGCAGAGCACAGAGTGGTGCCCATAATAGGTTTCCTCAAAGAATAACACGCTTTGAAGAATTGGCCTCTCCTGACACTGGGCCCAGGGTACCGGATGTATCCTGTTCCCATACCCAGAATCCATCATCCAATGGGGTTCTGACCCTTCTGGCAGGCCTCTGGGCCACAGGATATGGAACGGGAGTAGAAATGAGAACACAGAGAAAGGGGCTGGCAGGAGCACAGGCCAGGGTCAGGCAGAGAAGGGTGGAACACTGGTGCTGTTCCCTCGCTGTGCAAGTCTAGGTAAGTTCCTTAACTACCCCGAGCCCCAGGAAACCTCAACAGAAAAATAAGCATATGCCTCTCTCTCCCCAGGAAGGTTCTGCAGGTGGAATAATGAATTCCTGGAACACACTTGGCACAGAGCTCGAAGCACAAAAGGTGGCCCATTGATAGCAGCCAGGTGAGCCCACTGCCCAGCCAGGGAGCCTGCTCCCCCGTCAGTTTGTGCCTGTTTCCCCTCTACCTGCTGTCCCCTTCCTGGAACACCTCACCACCCCAGCCTGCTTCCTCCCATGAGCCCTTCCTCTGTCAGCTCAAGGGGACTCATGGCTGTCATCTCAAACCCAAGCACAGGGCCTGGCACATAGCAGACGCTCAATTCACATTTGCTGAATAAAGGAATGGATGAAAAGACAGCCACCACGGCTTTCTGCAGAAGCCCACCTGTGTGGATCCAGGGTGCCAATGACCTAGAGCAGTCCCCGAACTTCCATCACTGAAGAGCTTAACTATCCTCTGGGCTAGCCCTAGAACCTTCCAGAAAGCTTCTAAATTCATCCCTGACCAGCAGACCTTAAATCTCCACCACAGAGGCTCCTGTGCTAGGCTGGCATACTAGCGTTTTTCACCACAGGTCAGTGCCTTATTATTTTTTAAAAAGAGTTCTGGCTGAGAGCCAGCCCAAGCTGCAAAAAGGAGGAGGGACAGCTGTTGATACATCACACCTCCTGGGCAAATGTCAACCAGCCTGGGGAGCCTAGACAGCCACTCAGGGCTGCCCGCCAGAGCTCAGGCATCTCGGGCCTGATTTATCAGCGAGCCTGATGGGCATGCTCGGAAAACCCTTCTCGGCCCAGGGGTGAAAATAGGAGCTCAGGAACCACATGAGAGGCTGCAGTTGAGGCTATGGTGTCCCAGCTTTCAACTGCAGCTCCCCAGGGCAAAGCCAGGAATTTCTTCAGGTCCCCAGGCCCTGAAGAGGATCCCTGGATACTGAACTGAGCAGACTGTGAGCTGAGAGGCCTGAGAATAGGTTTCAGCAACACCATGCAGTGCTGTGCAACCTGGGCCAAGTCACTTAACCTCTCTGGGTCTCAGCCTCCTCACCTGTTAAGGGGGAATAGTAACAGGGCCTCCCTCCCCTTCTGTGACTCCCAATTGTGGAGACACTTAGCCCGATCCTGGCAACGTGGTGAGCCTCAGGAAACACTCCTCTTTGGTGATGTCCAAGCCGATTAGATGTTTTAACCTCAGCGCGGCTTGTGGGGACACAGTGCAAAGCACACTGCCACTTCGTGGAGGTGTGACCTGGCTGGTCACCTGGCCTCTCTAGCCTTGGTTTTCCCATCTCCCTCCCCTCATGGCAATACCGAAATCACAGATGGGAAACGCTCTGCCATCCCTAAGGTGCTACATGACATGCAGGGACAGGGCCACCCTCAGGAGCAGATCTGTCACAACCAGGCAAGCTCTTCCCCAACCCGTCACTGACCAAGCGAACCAAGGGCTCTCAGTCCACCCTGCCCCAGCGCTTGGCTTCTGGGTGGACCAGTGGCTGCTGCACTACTGTCTCCAACATACCCCCTATCCAGCGGCCACAAGTTCAGAGACACACATAAATCAGGCTCAGCACTGCCCTGCCTAGAGTCCAGGTGCCCAGCGTGAGATCTACCCTCCTAAGGTACCTGTCCACCTCTGACCCCTCACTCACAGTGTTCCAGCCACAAGGGTCTGCTAAGTGACAGTCCCGTCAGTGACTGCCCCCTATGATCTCTGGCACAGAGGCCACCCTGTTTCTATGTCTGCCTCCTCCCATGGGCTGCTGACTGCACGAGGGCTGCAATGGGCTGCAGGAGGTGCTCACTGTGCGACTGCTGATGAATGCATAACACCTGAGCGGGCGCCTTCTTTGATGGCTCCAGCAGGGTCAGTGCCCAGAAGTCCCTCTGCCTGCAGAGCCGGAGAGCACCAGCTAGAATGCTTGGGAGCGCCCTCTGCAGGGGCCTGGTGGGGCTGCCCTAAAAGGGGCTTGAGCCCCAGTCACCAGGCTGGCTACTCCCTGAGTTGGTGATGTGGGCAGGCCACTCTAGCCCTCTGGGCCCTGGCTCGCTGCTCCTCAATGGCATCTACAGTGCACTGGCCCAGGGCTAAGCTCCTGCCCTCACAAGGCAAGTCTCATCATCAGCTCCGTTCCAGGGTAGAGGAAACTGAAACTTGGGGGCCTTAAAGAGCTTCTGACATCACACAGTTGTCAGCGGGTAGGTGCCAACTTAATCCAGATGGGCCCATACCAGGGTGTATGCCCCTAACCTCCCACCAGCAAGGGCTCCCCAGCAGAGATGTGGAATGTTTTAAACAGCATGGTGGCATACTTCTGGCACACAGTAGGTGCTCAAATGCTGTAGCTTTTAAACTGCTCATGGCCAGTTTCCTGTGAGTGTCCAGCCTGGACCAAGGGCGCTCTGCTGACCTAGCGGGACTGGATTCAGTATAGGTGGTTTCTGAATTTGCTTTTTGCTGAGGGTGGAGTGAAAAGGTCAGAGAGGGGATGATGAGCAGACTGTGGCCTCCCCCAGGCCTGGGTACTGTTTCAAGATGCTAGAAGGCTGCTTTGAGCTGGTGGACATTTCCCTTGGGCATTAGACTGGAAAGCTGGCAAACAAAAAAGCATTTTTCCAAAACATCCAAGATTTTATAAATGCCAACTACTTCGGAACCCTCTCAAGGTTACTAAGGGGAAGGCGGGTATTGGGGGAGGTTCATTCCATCCACACTGATTCTTCCTGTCCCCTACCCCCCTGCTGATTTATGAGGACTTGCTCACTCCAAGAGGCTAGAGTGTGTGGGGGACCCAGCATCTGAGGCCCAACTGTCGGCCTGTGAAGTCAACACACTCAGAAGCCACAACAAAGGGCAGCTTTACCTCAGAAGCCCACAGAGCCTTCAAGCCCACTTAGCAGGAAAGGAAAGAACACTGAGCAAGAGATAACCTTTTTCTCAGGAAGTTGGCAGAAGCCTCAGAAGGAGAAAGAGTCTGTAACCAGGTTCGGTCTCTCTGGAACCCAGGGTAAGCAGCTACTTCTGAGTCTTGCTTTCCTCAGCTGCACAGTGGGGTTAGAAACACCACAGACTGTATGAATTTATCCCTTTAATCTACGTAAAGCAACCAGCCTAGTGCCTAGAACATAGCTGGCTTCAACTAATGGGACTTTTGTCCTCGGGCCTTAAAGAAACATGCAATGCTAGAGGGACACCACATATGTCATTCACCTAAATTTTTACTAACTTGCAAACATTTTGGGATAAGTCACTGTAAATGGTTGTCTAAACTTAGTATTGCACTCAGCTGAAGCATCTACTCCTGAGATCGTGTTGTGAGGAGGTGGCTTTTAAGGACGTGAATTCACAGCAGGCAGCAATGGAGACAGAGTCAAACAATTCATCTGCCCCAATCTGACAGGCTTTGGAATATGTTTCTGTGATTACTCTGGGGCTTAAGGAAGCGGGCTGTTTAAGTGTGAAGAGACGTCACAAAGCAGCCATTCCCATCACACTGGGATAATATTGACTTTTGGCCTGCTGGGAATTTGAGAGGTTGAAAAAAATAATACTCTGTATGTTGCTGGAGAAAAGCACATTTATACAAAAAGCCGTGGCTGGGCAGCCACAAATAAAGGCAGCTTTATTTTAGTCATGAGATGCTGGCTACAGCGAGAAAAGAATCGTAGAAAGTCATCGTCTCAGTAGAGACGCCAGGAAGCAGGAGCAGAACCCACTGGTGGCTCCATCATGCCATCACACTCTGTCTGGGATGACAAGCCAAGCCACGGGTGGGCCAGTCCTTGGAGACCCCTGCCAGCCCCTGGGAACTTTTCCAATCATCGCAACTTACGAAGGCCTCCTGGACAGAACAATACCCACAAGTGATGAGGGTTTTGCTGGCACAGCAGTTGAGATCACCAAAGCGCCCTTGTCAGCTAATTGTGCAGGGAACGCACAGGGAGTGTGCAGGGAGAAACCGAAATGCCTTGGTATTTTGCCTTAAACTAGCCCTGCGGCCTTCCACTCCCTCCACCCACATACTTCACTGGTCACCAAGTCCTGTTAGTTCCACAGCCTAGATTTTTCTGGACTCACTTCATGGTTAATTACCCCAGGGAAATCCTTGCGCAAGGGTGCGCAGAGGCACTCATTATTTGTTAGACAAAAACTTGGCCGCAACCTAAACATCCATCAATGGGGGATTGGCTAAATAAACAGTGGTTTGCCTGCATGATGGATTGCTCTGCAGCAGTCAAAAATGAATGAGAGCGCTCTTATGAACTAATATTAGAAACAAAACATAAGATAAACTGTTGAGTAAAAATACCATTCATCTAGGTTAAAAAAAAAAGGTGATATAATGCTATAGGGCAAGTATGGGATATAAATGCCCAGGAAAGGATATAGAGGGATATACACCAAGCTGAGGAAGGCGGTACCTCTGCGGAGAGACGTTCTCTTATCCATAAGATGTGCACAGCACCACCTATTACATGGGTCGTGAGAGCAAGGGAAGGGCTGAGCATGCCTCGGGTCCCTCTTCTGTCTGCCCCCCTCTTTCCTGCCTTCCCTGATGCCAGTCAAGACCCAAGCTACCTGCCTTAGAAAGTCAATGGCTTCTGATGCTTCCAGGTAAAATTCTAACCTGTCAGCAGGCTGGGAGACTTTGCCATCTGACCCCACTTGGCTTTCCAGCCTCTCATCACTCCCCTACACCACGGCCATGCCACCGTATGTCGCCTGCTGCCGCATGCCTTTCTTATGCTGTCCCCACAGCGCCTGCCTCTTCGCTCAGCACAACCTGCTTATAAGGCCATCAATTCATCTGTGTGTGCTTGGCACAGCATTTTTTATCTGATTCACAAGAGACCTCAGCAAACACTTGCTGAATGCAGTCTCCCTTTCCTGACCCAAGTTAACATATGTGTCATGTTACTTCTTTGGAATTTTTAAAGTTCCTTTTAAAAATGCCAGTTCTTCCGTCACCGCCTCCCCAACACCTTCCTTCTCCCCCTGGTGGTCCCCCACCCTGGTCCCCGGGAGCCGCCATGGAGACTGTCTGGCACCCAGTGACCTACGCTCTCTGGGAAGCCTCGGCACCGTACTGTGTCCCATCCCTGCCTTCTGCTCTGCTCTCACTCTCAGCAGGTCCTCATGAATTAATGACTCTCCTTCTAGCCATTGGCACCCTTAGCAGTGCCTCTCGGCATCTCATTCTTTCGGTTCCCGATGTAGGCACTATGTCTCCTTGGGAAGTAGTAAAGTGGGTTCTCAGATCCTGTTCCAGAGGAGATCCTGGGGTTCCTTGAGCTAGTCAGAGATATTTTAAGACAAAAATAAAATCGAGGTGGTCTTTCTCCAATTCAGATAAAATAAGGCTAGGATTCTCTCAATTCTGGATTTCATCACAAATAAGCCTTCATCCTTGGCATTTGCTGTCACTTGTCTGTTAATGAGAATTTGCAGTTAGTTGGTAAAACGAATGACTTAGCAGCAAAAAATGACCATCAATAAAAAAAGGCTTGCAAGGTTTCTTCCAATAATTTCATGAATTTTTCCTTTAGACGTAGAGACTTGCATCCACAGAATAGAGTCACGTTCTCTGCTGGTTTCCATGCTCTTGGTTCACATGATGGAAGGGTTCCCAGTGCACACCTGCTTCCCAAGTGTTCGGTCACCAAAGAACCTTCAGGATTGAAGGCACAGTGGTTCACAGAGTGGGACGCAGGCAGGCCTGCTGTGAATCCCTGGCTGCCTGTCTGTGAGCTGTGTGACACTGGGCCCGGTGCTCCCCTTCTCTGAGCTCAGGTTTCCTGACTGGCAGACTGAGGAATGGTGCTGGAATCCCAGGGCTATTGTGAGGTTCACCAGGAAATGCCTGGCTCAAGCGGGTGTGGAATAAACGATGGCATCAGTATCAGTGCCATGGGTGAGTGGTGAGTGCTGGGCTGGGGCCGCAGAGGATGCCTCTCTGTTCTTCTGTGGCCCTCGCTCTGCCTCTTGGAGCTGTGGGACCTCAGGCAAATCGCAGAATCAGAATCTTCATGGCCCTTTTGCAGGAGAAGGAAAATCTTGCCCCAGTGTTTCATCAGCATCTGAGGAGAACCTTTCTGAAATGAGCAAATCTGTACAACTGAAGGGTGTCTTTGCTATTTGTAGCAGATGGGGCTGGCTGTTGGATTATTAACTTTGTGCAAACTGATTGAATGTGTAGAAAGGGAATCTATTATTTGGAGGCCCGAGGGTCAGCCCTGACTACTAATAATGATAAAAAATACTGAGAACCGCTAACCTTGATTGCATGGTGCACATGCACGAGGCATCATTCTAGGCACTTACATGAATTAACTCATTTTATGTTCATGGCAGCCTAATGAGGTAGGTGACATTTTTATCCCTGCCCTTTTTTTTCTGAATTATGGTGAAATATACATAACATAAAATTGACCGTCTTAACTAGTTTTTAGTGTGCAGTTCAGTACGTTGAGCACATTCACATTTGTTACACATTATCTCCATTTTTCACATGAATAAACAGTCCCAGAAGAGTGAACAAACTGGCCCAAGGTCAGGTCACAAGTGTAGGTACAGGCAGCACTCGAACCTGGACCTTCTGTCCCAGGGCTGTGCTGAGCTGCCTCGTGCTGCCTCTCACCGGGACAAACACCCTGCTGCTGACAGGAAACCCATGGTGGGTGAGCAGAACGAACAATGGGAGAGGACACTGGGGCTGACTGTTGGGGTCCTCCCGGGCTGAGGCTTAGCGCGCTCTCTCTCATCAGGGCTCGCCATCTTCCCAGGTGCTCTGCAGTACACGTGCTTGCCTTGGCCTACAACACTCCGAGACAAGAACAGACAGGCGCTGCATGCTACGGGGCAGCAGCAGGTGAGCTCGGGTGTGCACACGGGCACGTGGCTGGGCCACCTGCTCTGGTACTTGCTCCCTGTTCTGTGCTGCTGGCCACACGTGAGCCTGCAGAACATTCCACGCAGTAGCCAAGGTCAAACGGCTGTGTGAAGCTGGGCTTTTGGTCTCTTCCTACCATCTCCTGCACCGGCTCTCTGTGCCCTTCTCCATGAGCAGCCTGGGCAGTGTTTTCTGCTCTCTAAGGTGCTGGAACACCAGAAGGCTCCTGTGGCGGTCTGGGGTGGGTAATGACCCCAAAAAGTGAAGCAACACTTATTCTTCGGAACTTTTCTCCTCCCTGCCTCCACCCCCCAGAGAAGGCTTGCCCAGGACATGATGGCTGGCTCTGCCTGCTGCATTTTGCAAGAGGAGGGCTCCTCACACAATAGGGTCTACTGGGAAAACGACAAGGATCTGGAGGCACGTCCCAGGTGAGGGAACCTTGTGGCCCCGACTCAGGAATGCGGTTCCTTTCTGGCTGTATGCTCCTAGCCTGACCATGTCCTGTTGCTCTCTCTTCACAGCTGTGCTGGGGGCTCTGAGAAGAGACCTGGCAAGTTCAGGGATGATTTTTGAGGGGGACCTGATCGCTCACACCCCCAACCCAACCATTTGAAGTCTGCACTCTCAGAGACAACTGCCAGAAAGCTTTGAAACAAGTTTAAATCGTGCTGCTTTTGCTGAAGCAGGATTTTGACATCTCATTTTTGCTTTCTGGTCATGACAGACCAGGAACGAATGTGCACAAGGATGGACCTTTGCATGACCCCGACCTCTGGCCTGGTTTGAAAGTGAGGGCGGGTGAAGAGCGTCTTTGTATGGCTGCTTTGCAGGCTTGTCTCTGATCTGTCAGAGGCGGGACGTGGAGGAGGAGGCCTTGTGGGAGCGTGGCGTGCAGAAGACGGGAAGCATGCTGCCATCTGGGTAAGAGCGGCCCCGAGAGCCCCCCTCCCATGAGGGTCTGTCCTGCCAGCCTCGGACACTCAGAGACAGGTGGCAGAGCTGGGGTGGCAAACTGCTAGCCACACCAATGCTGCCTTGAAGCAAATGGGATTAGGGGCAGGTACAGTGGTCCTGGCCTCAGCCTGCATCATGTGGGCTCTGTGACCTGGGTCTGAGCCCCAGTTTCCCATCTGCAGAACAGGGCAAGTGATACCAGCTTCCAGCATTGTCCACAGGATGCAATGAATGCCTGCAAAGCACCTGGCACAGCCAAATTCTTCCAGTCAGACTACACTCCACATTCCCAGAAAGAGATGACTTTTCTGTCCAAAATACCTATGGCTGAAGCCAGCAGTGTGGTTATGCCCGAGGTCTCAGGTGGCGACGGGTAGGCATTTACTTCTAAAATCAGAAGAAGGAGAATTCACTTCAGATTTATCAAAATGGAGTCAGGAACTAAGGCTTGACGATGGGGCTGGAGTCAGGCAGACCAGAGTTTGAAGCCTCACTTGGGTCGGGGGAGCGGGAGAGGGTATCAGGTGTGACCTGGCAGGTGGCCTCCTCACATGCAGAAAAGGAAAATGGCAAGACCTTCCTCCTGAGGGTCGTTGTCAAAACCAAATGAGAACCCTGCATAATAGTGCTTATCAACTCAATACATTCTGCTTAAAAAAAAAAAAAAAGGCCTTAGGGTCCGAGTCAAGTTCCTGTAACACGATGACCAGGGAGCTGAGGGCGGGAGGGGCGAGCCCGGGGTCGGGGGGCTGGAGGGAGGCGGCAAGGGGGCTCTCCTTCCTGTGTGACTCCAGAAAGGGTGTTTTGGTTTGTTTGTTTTGTGTTTTTTTTTGCGTTGGGAGCTGGAAGGAGGGAACTGTCTCCAATTTTATCATCAGAAATAAGAGTAACAGGCCTAAAAAATTAGTTTCTGAGAAACAGTGTGACGAGATGACAGCAGCCCCCGGCACGTCAGCCCAGGGAGAAGTCAGCACTGACTTAAACATCGATTTTCCCCCGTGCTCTGAGGGTGGGCTGAGGCTTTGTGGCCAGCTCGCCGGCCCCGAGCACACGTATTCTTCACGTTCTTCCTCGGGTACATGCTGCCAGGGCAGCTCTGGAGCCAGGCTGCCTTTCCAAAGAACTGTGAACTGTTCTGGTCTGTGACCCAGGGCCGGTCTGTTTACATACAGGTCACACACCTGTGCTCGGGATTGAACTGCCTGCCCAGAGACAGATGGTGCCCTGTACCCAGCAGGACAAGAAGCTGGGACAAGAAGCGAGGAAAGCAGAGTTTGGCCCTGACGTGATGAAGTCTGACTCTCTAGGGGACATCCAGGGCCACCACCAACTGGCACCAACTGGTGCCAGACTCAGGCACGAGCAGGACAGTGACATCCTTGCGGCAGGACTCCAGTCTGCCGGGAAAGCAAGACCCTGAGCCACCCACCCGGCCCAGTGGCCTTCCAGGCACCGAGCATCGGCTCTCTCCACTCACCGTCAGCAGTTGCTTGAGGAAGAGGTGGGGAAGAGCCTGCTTAATGGGTACAGGGTGTTATCTGAGGGAAATTAAAATGTTTTGGAACTAGTAGAGGTGATGGTTAGCACAAGACTATAAATATAATAAATGTCACTGACTTGTACACTTTCAAATGGTCAGTTTTACATTATGTGAATTCCACCACAATTTAAAAAAAGAAAAACCAGCTGCCCCACAGACGGGCTGGGATGGGCTGGCCCCCCGGGGAAGATCACTGGGGTGGCATCTGATCAGCACCCTGATGCTGAGAGGGAGCTGGCCCCACAGAGGGTTCCAGGCAGAGGGCAGCGCGAGGACGGAGGTCTGAACGGGATGCGCTTGGCCCCTGCGTGGTATGGGTGGAAAGCCAGTGCGGCTGAAGTGCTGGGGTGTATGTCTGCAGAGTTGGGAGGCAAGAGAGGAGCTGGCGGCGGGAAGGAGGCGGGGGCTGGGACAGTGGAGGCGGGTGGGGTGCCAGTTGGAGGGGTTTAAGCAGGGTGGAGAACAGTGAAAGACAGACTTCAGTCCCTGTCCCCGGAGCTAAGGGGTGGGGGGGGGCAGCGATGATGAACAAGGTGGGGAGAGGTCCCTTTCTGTGCTCAGGTCATGAAGCCCCATCAGTGACGGCCGCAGTGCCAACCTGCTTGGTGCTCCACTCCAATGCCTGTAATGCCTTCTGGGCTGTAGAGACCTTTGGTTTAGGTAAGAATTAGGAAGGGCCAGGGAGGACGCAAGCTAGAGGGACTACGGTGTCCTGCCAAGCTCCCAGCCCCGCCGGGTGAGCACCTGGGAGTAGCCTCTGGGCCGGGAGGAGACCAGAGTTGGGGACAAGATTGCTGCGGGAGGCCAGAGCCCTGGTCCCTTGACAAGAGGCCACTGCCCCACACTGTCCAGGGTCACCTCCAGGAAACAGGGTATGTGCTGGGAGCTGCTGGACCACTCGGTGTTCATGCAAAGGTGTCCTGTGGGACAGTTTTGGACAGGTCCCTGAGGGACTAACCACACAGCATCCATGGGGCTGCACCTGCCCACATATGCTTTGCTGCCGACCCCTCCCTCCCCGGCCAGGCACACACACAAGCCTCTGACGTCATGGGGTATATTTTTTTTTGGGTTTTTTTCTTTAATTTTTAATTTTTCTATTAATTGAACTTGTGATTTCTCTCTACACCAAATGGAAGAAGAAAAATATACCAAAGTGGCTAGCCACCTGTTAGCCCTGATTTATATCCTACTTTAGCATCTCTTCCAAGGAAATGAAAGGTATATTTTGATCAAATATAATCATTTACAGCTTCTAAAAGGGAGACAGACTCTCTAAACAATTATCTGAGACTGCACATAAAACTGGACGACGTGTCAGCACAGAGTTAGCAGTCACCCTGAGGCAGGCGGTCGGAGCTGGTTTCTCTCTTGTGAATTACTCCCCAGGTGGGAGGCAGGATCCCACGCAGCCTCCAGTTTTGCAACAGCGTGGCAAAGGACACAGAGCAATACCATTCCAGCAGTTTTGAAGGGTCACGCTGCCGCACACCTGGGCGGAGGGCAGCTGTGAATGCCACAGCACTGGAGGCCCATGTGAGCCATGCTCCCAGGGACACCCTCCGGCCCCCTACACTTCGGCTTTCGCAAACCTCTAAGGTGAGGGTGCCGCCAACCCAACTCTCTCACCTAGGGGCATCTGCCCTCCGGGGATGCACATCTTGCTCGCTCCGGTAACAGAAAGTAACCAAAGGAAATCGGCAGATTCCTGGGGTCTCAGTTGCCACAGGCTCCCTTGCCAAAGTGCCACAGACTAAACCACCCGACGTGTAGGCCCCAGAGAGAACTGCTTCGTCTTCCCGGTGTTCACACAGGGAGAAGGTATCAGGTGGGATGTGCTGAACAGGTGCGGGCTCGTTCTTCAATCAGCAAAAATGGAATGAAGGCTCAGTACTAGGTATTGAGATACAGGGCAAACAGGACAGACCAGATCCCCGCAGAAGTGACAGTCTCCAAAGACCACGGCCAGGTACACAAATACATCAGTCAGGTAAGAAACCACAGGGCCCTGGAGTAAGTAAAGCAGGTAATGTGATGGAGGAGAGAGGGTAACTGAGCTAGGGGGTGAGCAGGGAAGGCCTCTCTCGGGAGGCAGCCTGCAGACTTGAGACCTGAGCAATTAGGAGGCAGCCACACAGATCTGGGGAAGGGCGTCCAATACAAAGGCCCTGATGGTAGAGAGCTCAGTGACTTAGGGCAGTGGTTCTCAAAGCATGGTCTGGGGAACCCTGGGAACACCCAGGGCCAGAACTACTTTCACAAAAATAATAAGACAGCATTTTCCTTTCACATGCCTTCTCCCAGGAGTATACAGAGTAGTTTCCTACAAGACACACGATGTGTGGCACCACAGGAGGCTGACAGCAGAAGCAGATATGAGAATCTGGCTATCTTCTATTAAGCTAGGCATTAAAGAGATTTACAAAAAATATGAAGTATTTTTGTTTGTTTTGAAGAACAAGGGGTTATTGTTCATTAAAAAACTGTTATTTATGCTTATATGTAATGCATTTATCATTGTTTTTAAATAAATGAATAAATAAACATTAAGGCATTTCTCCATTTCAATTTCTAATACTTGAAATATCGGTAAATTCAATCCATATAAACTAAGGCTCTTTGGGCTCCCCAGTGCTTTTTTAAGAGTATAAAGGAGTCCTGAGGCCCAGACTTTGGGATGCGCTGACTGAGAGAAGCACAGGGCTGGTGCGGCTGGGCTGGGGATGGCGGGAAGGTCGGGGTGCCTCTGAGAGGCCAGCCGGCTGGGCCCATCTCACAGCGGCCACACGAGATCACAGTGAGAAAACCCGGATTTTGTTCTAAGTGCAACAAGAAGCTCCTGGAGGCTTGCAGGGCATGATCGGATCCAGTGCATGTTCTAGAAGGTCCTTCTGGCTTAAAGGAAGGAGGGAATGAAACTGGAAGCCTGAGAATATTGAAGATGCTCCTGCCGTGATCTGGGAAGAGATGCTGGTGCCTGGGCAGGAAGAAAAGGTGGGGTATATTCTGGAGGCAGAGCAGGCCTGTGGTCACGGGAGAGGGAAGACAAGAATTAAGAATGATTTCGAGATGCTGGGTGGCTGCGGGGCCTGCTGAGACGGCAGGTGTGTCGGGGGTCGGGGGGCAGGAGGGGAAAACTCCCCTCCCTTTCCTTGAGTCATACTGAGGCTCAGGGACTTCAGCTTGCGCTTCAGGTTGCAGCTGTAACCCAGGCCAGTGAAGGAGGGCGATGAGGACTGGCTCCCCAAGGCAGTGGCCCTGGGAGCACATCTTGAGAATGTCCCCATCCCCACCCCCACACCTGAAGGGCTGTCATAGGAGAGACAGGGCCTAGGGGTGCACGGCCCCCTCTGGCAGCTACCTTTGACTTGCCATGGTCCCAGCCAGCTAAGCTGCACATACCCTGACCTGACTAGCAACAGGCTGGCCATTCCAGCTGTGCCACACCCGGCCCCCCACCCCCACAAGGAAGGTCCAGGCCACCGTGGACAGATCCACACCCCCAGCACTGGGTGACCTCACTCCTCCCCTGGAGCCCAGGCAGGGTGGGAGAAGTCAGTAATAAGTCATTGTAAAGCCTTCTGCGAACTGAGAGATGACTATGCAGATGCCAAATAATGTGACATTTGGCTCTATTTATTAATTTACACTTGTCTTGTTCCAAAAAGGACAGAGCAGAAATAAGGCCTTGTTCCTTAACCTGTTAGTCCCTGGGCTGAAAGAAACCCTGGTGTCCCTCAAGAAATGATTTCTTAATTAATATAGTCTCAAATATGAAAAACAAAAAACTACAGGGCAGTACTTACAGAAATGTTAGTACATTTACAATAAAATTACAACTGTGTGTAAAAAAAAGAATGATAGAAAAAAGAAATGATGTTTTCCCAGGCCAATCTGTGTTTAGTTAACCTAGACTCACAGCCATCGTTTACATTTACCTGGCAATTATCTCTACAGAATTTCTCTAGACCCTGGGGCAGGCAGAGTCAGCTCACATTTCATGGCTGAAAACAGAGGCAGGGCTGCAATCAATCTTGTCATGTAAGACGGGTTTTAAGGACGGCGGTGGGAGGCAGTGTGAACTGGCGCGCTTTCTGCAGAGTGCATGCTGGAACTGTACACATCAAAATGAAGAACTGGCCCTCTTGACTCGGCAGTTCCACTGCTGGGAATTTATCCCACAGACACACAACGTTTGCACATTGCACAGAGAGCTTCAGGATGTGTCTTAAGGATGTTCACTGTGACACTGGAAATGCCCCAAATGTCTATCAGTACCAAGCATTACAAAAGATTTTTTTTTATCGATCCATATGACAAAATAGCGTATGACAGTTAATGAGCATCAGGTCGGTCTATATGCGCTGATGTATATGACCGAATTAAGTGAAGACACAAGGTGCAGAATCGCATACATGGTATAACCCCGTGTGTAAGACAAGCAAAATGTTTAAGTGGCCTGCGAACAAATGCTTCTGGACGGATATGCAAGAAATGGTTAATAGTGGTCACTGCTGTGGCAAGGTGGACTTAGTTCTCATTTTATCATGTCCTGTTTGGATTTTAAAATATCGTATGCTTACAGCACATATATTTCTAAAATGAATTAACCAAATCAAAGAAGGAAATTAGGATGAATCATGAGGAGGAAGGAAAACAAGACTGGGATTTTGGGCAGGTTTTATGCCTCCATTTGTTCTGAAATCAGTAACTGCTTTTGAAAACATTTTGCAACATTTGCAATTGAAGTTTGGAACCCTAAATCTGGGGAGGTTTCTTGGGAGGGGACAGCTTGGCCGGCTTTCTGAAGTTTTATAATCAACAGCAAGGTTATCTTTCGAGGGATCGGGGTGCATATGGATTTACTTAAAGCAGGCGTGTCAGAACAGGAAGGGGAGAGAGCGGCCTGCCCTTCTGGAGAAGCAGTTCTTTCTGCTCTGCTAAGGCAACTTTGAACTTTCTGTTCATGTTTTTTTGGGGGGGAGGGGAAGAGGAACGTTTGGGATGAGCTCTGGTGGAAGTGGGAAGAGGTGCTCCCAGCTCCCAGATGGAAGACGCTGGCAGCTGCCTTTGGGCAGCAGGGCCTTCTTCTGACATCTCAGTTCCTTCAGGGGTGGTTACCCCTGGACCACACAATCTCTTTCTAGTCATTACACACACAGAAGGAAATAACTCCCCCACAATTTCATTACTAATAATCTAAATATTTCCAAGAAATTTCCAAGAAACTTCTTCAGTCTTAATTCTGAGAAGTCCTTCTGTACCCCCAAGCAGACTTTGGAAAACCAAACCCAAGTCACAGAACCCCAAAGAGAGGACCAAGATTCATTTGTGGGGTGGGTCTTTAATCTTGTGTTCTACTTTGATAAACTCTAGGAAACTGATGCTTGCAGCAGCCTGGAAATCTGGGGAGAAGGGAAGCTTACACAGACGCAACCAAGAGGAAGCCCTAGGACCCCCAGGAGGGGGCAGGAGGTGGTGCAGGGTGGGGGCGGCTCACCTGGCACCTTGTCCACAGAAGCGAACACAGAGCGCTGCACGGTGGGGTCGCTGCTGCCCCGGCGGCACTGGTCATAGAAGCGGAAAGGCAGGTGCTGGGTGGATGAGGCAGGGCCGAGCCCAAACCCCAGGACTTCGGTGGCTGGCTGGATTGGGAGGTCCAGGAGCGCTGCATTCAAACAACACCATGGTTCATGCTCAGTGGGTGGGGTGGGGTGTAGGAGGTGAGGCTGGTTGGGTGGCTGTAGCCAGAGTAGCCATGGCCCTGCCAGGCATAGCACCTGGGTAATGCCAGAAGGGAGCTGGCAACCTGGAGCTGGTGAGACCAGAGTGACGCCAATGCCCGCCTGAGGCTCTGAGCACAAGGTGCCTAGTAGGGGATTCAGAATGGAAGCTGGAACAGTCTCCATCTCAGATCCTCGGCTTTCACACACAAAGGATCCTTGCCTCAGCTGCTGTTTCAGACCCCAAAGCAAATAGGGCCAATTCTTTCCTAAAAGTTCATATATGTGCCCATGGGGAACTTTGTGAGAGAGAACAGACACCCACATGTACGTGTGCATTTATGAGTGTGTTTATCTGTCACAGCTGCTATCTTCTCATCCATAAACAAATCTCATGATATAGCAATTTGGAGGGGCATTTTAAAACCAATTTAAGAAATACCTAAGGCATTAGTTCTAACAGCCAGTTTACGGCATAATTCTCAACTTTCAAATGAAATATTTAGCCTTCATGCCAGCGGTGAGAAACTGCTTTACATTAAAAAAAAAAAACCCTCTGAAAATAAATCTTAAAAGAAAGGGTTGAATGATTTAAGCCCCTTTGCACATTACAAAATGCTTCTGTAATGAATCTGTAGGCCAAGCTTCAGCTACGTGAGAATAAGACGAGGTTCTCTGGGATGCGGGCTGTGCAGATCGACAGGGCAGGCGTGCTAAATAACTGAATCTGCAATGCTCAGAAGCCCAGCCCTCCACAGGGTTATTTTTAGGTGATCCCTTTAGAAAGCTCCCCTCCTCCCCCAGTGGGCTGGAAATCCTCCCAGCAACCACACCAGAAGGACCACTGGTGCTTGAACTGAAAGGCGCTGGTGTCTTGAGAAGACTATTTATAACCTCAGGAGTTGCTAGAACGCCTTTTCCCCTGGGAGAATGCTGTGCCTTCCGCCCGGAAGAGTAAAATGCCCTCGATTTCAGGGCCTTTGCTTCTAAGAAAACCGGGGCCTTCCTGACACTGGGCATTGTCAGCCTCCTCACAAATGCACCAGTCCCTGTGAAATGCAAACGTGACTTCTGAATTCAGCGCTGGGTCATGGTACCCTCCCCAGGCAGGGCAGCCTCTCCTGAGAGCTGCCAGGGCAGGAGGAAGGGCTGAACTTCCCAGTAGGAAGCTCTGCACGTGGCTTCTGCTAACTAGGCAAGCCACTGAGCCTCGGTTTATTCTTTTGGACAATGGGCAGAACAGACCCTGGTGATCTCAAGGGTTGTTTTAAGGAGCAAAGGTGGCAGAGGAGTGCTGAAGCGTTTTGTAAACATAAGCTAGAGCACCTCCACGTGCAGGAGTGACAACAGTTGTCCCACCCTGACAGCTGCCTGCTCATGGCCTCTTGCCTGGTAGGAGGGCTCTTGCTCTCCTCTTCATTGCAATGCTAGAAACTCTCCAAAAAGTCAAACACTTGGGAAGTGGGAGATTCTGAGCAGCTTCTCCATTCTCTCACCAGAACACAGTTCCTGAACTGTGTGCCTTCTTCTGGAGGAGTAATGGGGGTTTGTCAAGGTCAATGTGAGAACCCCTGTGGCTGCTCCTGTCCCCCCAACCGGCTCAGAGAGAGGACCCTCCGCTGGGGCCAGCCACTCACCAGCGATCCTCTGCATCTTCATGCGCCTCGCCTGGATGCGGCCCTTGGCCAGGCGCTGCTTGGCGATGATGCAGCGGATGTGGTCCGAGAAGACGAAGGTGGCCTGGAGGATGGGGAAGGGCTTGGAGTGGGGGCTGGACGCAGGCTTGTGGATGGTGATATTTAGGGCGCGGCTGTCATCCTCCACGCCAGTCACCTGCATGTCCTGCAAGGGGAGGAGGCAAAAGAAAGGGTGTGTGTTGGGTTCAGGAAGAAGGAAGCTGCTTGGAAGCGGTAGGATCCATGTGTCATCAAGAAAGAGGTCCCCCACATTCAACTTTGCTTTTGCTTGGAAGGAGACCATCAGCTTCCCAAGTCTGAGTCAAGGATAGGCACAAACCAGAGCAGGCCTAGTGGGAGGAGACACAGTGGGAAGCACACAGCACTCATAGGGAGCCCACGCTGGTTGTGGGGCTGGTACCGTCTCCATGACGACTCAAGTCAGCTAGTGAATAAATGGGTACAGCAGGCTCTTCAAGGGGCCACAGGGAACCCGCCAGTCCAACTCCAGTGATTCTTACTCCTGAGAAACCAGAGATAACAAACCAAAATCCCTATGCCATCTGGCATGATCTTAGATATGTTTGTTTACCTACTGACCAATTTCTCCCTTGTTTCTCTTAAGAAGCAGGCACTGTTGGCATCCACTTGAATGTCTCTGAAGAACTTCTGGTCCTACAGGAGAAAGGCAACCCTAACAAAGGGACAGGGAGGACATTTAGCAGACATCTGAAGAGAACTATATTTGAAAGTTGGAGAGGGAACTCCCGTTTAAGTGTAACAAGGATGAAGCCAATCCAAAACCTCAGAACAGATTCTGTGTATAGGACCCGCTTCCCGCCAGGGTCTGAGGTGATTTAAGAAAAAAGCATGGGGCAGGAGATAGGCAAGAAAGTCAGAAATGCTATAAGGGGTGGGGAAAATATTGAAAAAGCCTCGTGAATAAGAGGGTTTACTGTTCGTAGGCATTACTTCTGGCACAGACTCTTTGGAAATCAGACCTGCATTTAAATGTTACAGTGGGGATTAGATGAGATATTAGACATTTAAAAGGAGACGCTGGCATATAGTAATGGCCTGATGAATAGTAGCTACTGGAAGACGCCCAAAAGAAAAGGTGTATGTGGCTTTCATTGTCTGGTGGAGGACATGTATTCATCCTTGGAGGGAGAAAAAGACTTCCCTGACACTAAATTCTAAAGGAAATTGATCATAAGCCCAGATAAATAAGAACACTTAAGTCACGTAATGAACAACCTCTTACACGGGAGTCTTTTTTTTTTAATGAAAGATTCTTCATAGAGTTGTTTCTCATGTCACTCTAGGTAAGGGACATTTTTTTAAATGGAAAGATCTTGAAAAAGAGGCTGGGGAAAGGGTTGCAACATCTTCTATCCTACCTGTGGGTGGTTCTTGCAGAGAGCTAAGTGCTGCCAGCAGGTCACACTGTGGACAGGCAGATGCAGGTCAGCCCGAGCAAGGCCTTGCCAGCAAGCAGGACTGCCCAGCAAGGAAACAGACAGGCTCCGAGAAGGGCAAGCCTCAGGCCTGGGAGCCTCTGAGGATGTGGGATGTTCAGGCCTGGGGGCCCGAGGGTGGTGGGAGCTACAAAGCTGTTCTCCATTTCTTGGATCTACACTTCATTCAGTCAACAAGATGGCATTAGGCACCCATCACACAGACAAACTGTAAGAAATCCCAAGCCCTGACTTGGTGTTTGCTGATTTAGAGCCCAGCTCTGCTGGAAAGCAGGTGAGGACAAGGGAATGCCCATAAATCGCCAGTGGCAGCAATCATTTTAAAGAGGAATCTGGCAGGTTCTATGAACACGGAAACTAGGGACACCCCCAACTTCTTGGAATCTGTCTAGGGAAACCCTTGCCCAGATGCATAAGGAAGTAAGAACAATTCTGTTCATGGCAGCACTGTTGGTAAAGGTAAAAAGCTGGCAGCAGCCACAGGACACTGGCTAACTACGCCTTGGCTCGCAGCAGTTAAAAGAACACCAGTAAGTCTGCATATATTAACACGGTCAGCTCTCTAAGACAGACATGAATGGAAAAAGCCAAGTTCAAAATACATTCAGTGTGATACTATAAAAAATACACAAACGCATACACACACCCACCCTCTCAAGGGTTTTTAAAAACAGTACATGTAGTTATATTTATATACGCACTTGGCAGAGCATCAGGTCAGGAAGAACCATCTTGATAACAGAGGAGAAAGTTGAAGGTTTAGGTCAAAGAGAACTGGGCCCTTATCTGGGCAGTATTTTAACTTCTTTCAGTGACAATCTGTCCACATAGTTCTTGTGTCATTAAAAATTAACTACAAAGATGATACTTTTTGTACGTTTGTACAGACAACCGAGAAGAGTTTCGGGAGTTCCATACCTGCAGAAGGCCCGCGAACTTGACCACACCCCAGCCGAGTCTGGACACGTCTGGCTCCACCAAACTCATCTGGTAAATATCGACAGCCAGGAACCGCTGGACCATGCCGCCGTCCTTGGTGGTCACCGTGCACGCGATCAGGTCGCTGTTGTCTGGGAGGAGGCAGACGGAGAGCAGAATGAGGCGCTGTCGGGCGGCCCAGCCTGGCGGAGAGGCCCAGGCTGACGTGCGTTCTGCTGGGCAGCAGAGCTCGGCAGACAGGGCCTGGGCCTGCAGTCACACACATCTGGACTGAGTCCCTCCTCTGAGTCATGCTGGGCAACATTTTTATCTCTCTGGCTTCACTTGCCTCATCTGAAAATGGGGATGATACCCGCCCCTCTAAAGTGCCTTGTGAGGAAGACAAACTGCATAGAACACAGGGTTTTACAATGTTTACTGCTGGGCAGGCCGGGGCGGGCTCTTGGAGTGTGCTAAAAAATAACCCACAAATTGAGCATCCCAGCAACATCCCAGCACTTCCTGGCAGACCAGTGGTGGTGTCTAGCCGTAATGGTGTTCACCGGAAGTAAGTGAAGACAGGAAGACAAGAACCCCTGCTTGGTCACAGAACCACCAAGCCCTCAACTTAGTGTCTTGGCAAGTCAGAGCCAAGCTCGGCACTGCAGTGCGTGATCCTCCTGCACAAGGTACTTGGCCCCTTTGAACCCTGACTGTAAAACGGGAATACTTTCCCTTACCTTGAGATGTTGGGTGCTTTCAATGAGGACAGAGAGGTTAAAGCATTTAGCATGGGGCCCTCGTGGTATGCCGGGTCCCTTCTCTTATTTGAAACCTATCCCCAAATTCTGTATCTAATTTAGTGCCTGTCCCTGACAGCTTTGAGATCACCAGGTCAACACAGGACCATTAAATCCAGTTGGCTTTGAATTCCCTTCAGTGGAATCCTCTACTATGTGTTTTAAAAATAGCTCAACCAGGAAACAACCTAAATGCCCCCAAATAGGGGAAAATTTTTAGTATGATTTTTTCTCCCATCATATGCAAAATTATATACCCATTTAAATATTATGTTTAACCAAACTGTGAACAGTGGTTACCTATGGGGAGGGAAGTGAGAACTTGGGGTGGGAGTGTGTGCATGTGTGTGTATGTTAGGGAGGAAGTATCTTTTTTCCCTATACACCACTGTATTGCTTGACATTATTTTTAAATGAAACTCCTCAGGATATACTTCTGAAATACATAATAAAAACCCAAGCAATGGGGTGGATGATTGTGCATTGAGCATTGAGTCCCCTATACAGAATTTTATTGTTGTTAACAACCATTTGATCAATAAATATGAGAGATGCCCTCTCAAAAAAAAAAAAAACCAAGCAAAAAAATCCTATTTATAAATAATTGCAATGACATTTTAAAGACATTAAAGTTTGAAATGAAAGAGAGGAGAAAAACTTTATTACTTTGATTTCGATGTAAAAAAAATACCCATAAGGAACTACAAGGGCAGAGAAATAAAACACTGAAAGAAGTCTCTGACTAGAAGCATAGTAACTGGGGTTTTTTATGGGGGGAGGGGGAAGCAGCTGTACTGAGGTATAATTTATAGACCATAAAATTCACCCACATTTAAGCTTACAGTTTGAGTTTTGGTGAGTCTACAGTTGTGCATGACTTCACTTCAGGTGAACGCTTCCCTTCCCACAGGAAGTTCTGGGATCACAGTAGCCAAACATTTGGGTTAAATTTATTGGTGGGTAGGTGGGAGAGAGGGGGGCGGGTAAATACAGGTGGTGTAAATTCTGACCCCAAACACAGTAACACACATGTGATTACAAACGGGATCCAATCTTCTCTGAGGATTTTCTTCCCTATTTTTAACTTCCATGGAGATCTAGGGATAATAGGTAAATTTTTTCTCCCCCCAACTCCCTGCACACACTTCACTCTGACCCTCTGACAGCACAATCTGGGATCCTGGCTTCACGGGGACATCTAGGCCATCCTTCCGTCTTACAGGCCTCGTATTTCTGTCTCTTCTTCCTAGCAGAGGACCACCTAGGATAGCCAGCTACCCCTTGGCAAACACTGGCACCAGACAGGCTTCACTTTCCGGACTGTAGTTTTGTATTATCTATGGCAAGAATCTTCCTTCCTTTCCTAAGAGTCCAGCCAACTATTTTAAAAGCTTTCTAAAAATTACTGTAACCAGAATTTCTAGTTTCATACTGAAAGACATCTAGTCTTCTACCTTGTCAGAGATGGAAGTCCCCATATTCATTCTCAGAGACATTTTCTTTGGGATGGGTGGTTTATTTCCCTCACTCAACACTTAAAACATTTTCCTCAGTGACAATCTTTCATGTTTTAAAAACAAAAGGCAGAGCAAAACAAATAAAGGATGCTTTTTCTTCCCTTCTTTTCCTTTCTCTTTCTTTCCCCTTTTTCCTCCAGGAAGGGCACCTCAGCTTTCTCTGGAGCCTGCGTGTGGATGCGCAGGGTGGGGCACCACCACGGGTGTCAGTGTCTGGGGGTGGGAGGTGGGGTTTGTAGCAGGTAAGCCCCTCATAGAGCCCGGCGCTGGGCCTTAGGGGGTTCGGGGTGTGTGTGTGGGAGACCCACCACCTCCACCACAAAGAACAAAAAAGGAAGGATAAAACCCCAAAGCGGAATGACTTTCAGTAATGCAGTTGAGACATCAAAGCCCTGTGGGAGATTTCATAAGAAAACTAAAAGGCGACAGGAGCCTGTGGGGCAGGACGGCGGGCGGGGGAGGGAGTCTCTGGCCTGTCACACGCTGCGGGGGAAGTGAGGGAGGAACGGAGTGGCTTCTGAGGGCTCCAGAGAAGGATGGCCTTCAGGGGGCCCGAGGGGACCGCGGGAGGGGGACTCACTCGTGGGTCCTGCGTGTCATTTTAGGGAAGTCCTTCACCACCTCGGCCCTTGGCGGCTCCGCACACTGGCTGTGGCCATTCCCGCCTGGAGCCCTGGGTGGCGGGGCTGCCTGCTGCCCTTTGGATGGCCACGGTGTTGTGGGTCGAGGACCCAGGAGAGAGCTGCTGGATGAAGCCCGACGCTGGCTGTGGTCCGGGGCCCTCACCACCCCTTCACTCAGGCACCTGTGGATTCTGCTCCGAGGCAGGGGAGCCAAGCTGGGTGCTAAGGTACCGGGAGGGACATGGGCACGCAGAGAGGGCTCGGTGGCAGGCAGCTGTGTTGGGGTGTGGGGGGCCTCAGGAGCATCTCAGCCTGACTCTCAGGAATGGTCTGTGGCCAGAGGAGGTGACAGGTCATGTGCACACTTTGCTGTACAGCTGAATTTCCTCCCCCACCAACTCCACTTCAAAAGGGGTGGAGCTTAGGATTCTATTTTTAAAATCCACAGAAAATTGTCAGGGACAGGGAAGGATTTCTTTAAAAAGAAATAATAATTAACACATACAAATAAACAAATGTAAGATTGATAGACTGATTTCAACAAAATTAAAATTTAACTCTTCTATAACAAATGACTTTACAGACTAGAGGAAATCTTTGCAAAATATTTCTAAGAGGGGAAAGATAGCCGTAAATGTGGATTCCTACAGGTCATTCAGAGACAAGAGAGTGGGGACAGCAAATAAGCCCCCACAAGGGTGCTAACCCTGCTGAGAAACCACACAAGACACCATCTTCCATTCACTGATTGGCAAAAAACAAAAACGTCTGACAATATCAGGTATGGGTGAGGACAGAGAAAAACTGACTTTCTCAAATGTTGCTAGTAGGAGACTAAATTAACATAGTGATTCTGAAGGGCAAATTGCATTATTTATTAAAACTGAAACTTTCACACCGTATGACCTGGCAATTGGTATGTCCCCAAGAAAAACACACTCATGCACCAGAGATACAAATAAGGATGTTGACGGCAGGATTTGGGTCTGTAATGACCCAAATGTCTGGCAACAAGGGGAAGCCTAAAAAAACCTACAGTTTCATTCAGTGCAAAACCACTTGGTAATGACAAGGAATGAATCAGATCCCTAGACATTTCAACACGGTTAAGTCTCAAGAATATATTGCTGAGTGGAAAAAGCAAGTTGCAGGCTGACACATGCAGTGTAACATAATTCTTACGAAGTTAAACCACACAAAACCATACCATATTATTTCTATGGGGCCCAGCATGTGGCTATAAAAGAAAAATTTAAGGAAATGTTTGGCAGGGTGCCCAACAACAACCTCTTTAGAGGGGCGGGGAGAGGACTGAAGGTGTGGGGGTCAAGGTCATTTTAGTTTATAAGCAATGTTCTGATTTTCTCAAGGAGCAAAGAGGTATGTTATTTGTGTACCTAAAATTAATAAAAAGAAAAGCGAATTCCTTTGCATACACAAAGGACCTCAGGGTTTTCTAGGGCCCAGTCAAGGCTGGGAGGCAACACCAGGATGATCAAGACCAGAGCAACGGCAAAAAGCTGAGGGCTCCTGACAACACCCCTTGGTTACAGATGTGCTCACTCCGGCACCACTCAAACGTGTGAGCAGAAGGGCTCTGGCGTCCAGTTCAGCAAACCTGTGGGTGTCAGGCACTGTACCAGAGAAACAGACCTAGAAGAATGAGGCTTGGCCCTGCCAGAAGGGGCTCAGGGAAAGGCAGGGATGCTTGGGTTCACGGTCATGAAACATGGTGTAGACCAAGTCTCCATCTGGGGAGGGACTGTGCCTCATGAGCACAGCAGGTGGAATGACAGCTGTCACCACTGCACCCCAGGACCATGAAGAGCATGGCATGCCTCCCCGTGGAACCTCCCTCCAGGGAGAGGTGACTCGTTCCCCCTATTCCTAGACACAGCCTTTTGTTCCATTATTAGAAAGGGCAAGGTTTGTCATTGTATTTTATTTGAAAATATTAAGCTTCTCAATCTCTTGAACAGATAACACATTCATAAGTTCACATTTAAAAAGCTGTAAAATCTTGGACAGTGATGGTAAATCTCCCCTGTCCTCCCCAGAAGCAACCACCTCACGTGTTTCCCGTTATCCATCCACTATGCATTCCAAGTGCAGCTGTGTTCTCCACGCCTTATCTTTTGCACGTGGGTGCATGCGGCACACTCTCTCTGCCTTTGCCACTTGCCCATGCATCTTGGTGACATGGCACACGGAG